TTTTCTGAAAGTGGGCTGACTACTGTCTACTTTGAACTCAGCTCGAACCTCTTCCCCGATACCCGGTACAGTTCAGACGTAGCGGCCTTGTTTATACCATGAAGGCTATAATTTATACAAACTGGCCTCAAACAGAGCAAGCTCATCTTTGTGTATTTGCTGTCCCTTTTGCTTGGGGCATATTATCCTCCTAGATCTTCACAAAGCTGCCTCAGCTTCTCCTGAGAGAGGCCTTCTTTGACCTTGGCAGAGGCTGCAGCTGTGGGACAAGTCACACCCCCCACGGCTCTCTACCTCACTGGCCTGAGCTAACTCCTCCATAGCACTTGTTGCTTCTTGTCTGCCTTAAAGGGAGCCCTTTGTCTGTCTCATTCTTGTCACTGTCGCGCTGTACTGGTCTCCAAATTGGGACTCGATCATTTGTTCAATCAGTAAGTATCATCCTACTCTTGCGTGGAGCAGAGGTTCTTAACTGGAGCTGCAAGGGTTTCAGATCATTTCCCCCTACCCTGCTCCCAGCTGTAAATGAAATGAAGGGTTTGAGGATATTTATAAGTGCTTTGAGGGGGAGGGGTTAAAAATGTGTGGGAAAGCATATATTTTCCAGATTCTCAAAGGAACGGAGTCCAAACAACAAAATGTTCATTACCACTGGTACAGAGTTTTAATTTATAAAGCACCTGCTCACACAGGGAGTTCTTATTACGCCTGTGGAGATAGGTGGTGTGGGAGTGGTCGTTTCTACCTCCAATAAAGACACTGAGGCACAGAGAGGTTAAACCTGTTGTGTGACCTACCACGGCTGGTCGGTGGCGGAGTGGACACAAACCCATTCCTTTGGACTCAAGACCCTGGGCTAGTAAGTTTGCATTTATTCTTGTTTAACTTTGTTTGCAAAGGCATCTAACTTAAACATTTTTCTAAGAACTTTCTTTTTAAAAAAATAATTGATTTGAGAAGGGGGTGGCAAAGAAACATTGATCTGTTGTTCCACTTATTTATGGAATCATTGGTTGATTCGTGTATGGACCCTGGCTGGGGATTGAACCCTGAACCTGGTGCATCAGGACGATGTTCTAATCAGCTGAGCCACTTGGCCAGGGCCTCTAACCACTTTTTTATTTAAACTTGTTTATAAGGCCGCCTTAACATTTCCAATGAAAAAAAAAATATTGCTATCAGCTAGATGAAGGCAGCTTTCAAGCAAAATTTTAATGTATGAACCAAGGAATGCAAAATAGTTTTCTAAAAGCCTAAGTAGAGAATAACTAGAAAAATAGATTTGCACAAATAAATATAACACACCCTACAACCAAACAAAAACAATGTTGAGAGCTCTAATGTTGAGATTTTATCTATGCTTTTAGTTGGGATACATGATTGAACCATCTATACTGAAAAAGCAATTTAACTCTTAACAAATCAGTTCTATAACAGAAAAATCGGAACGTATCTCTCTCCTGCTCATATGATTTTCAAAAGCAGGGGGCAGAGAGAACTGCATTACTTGGAGAATTACTGCAAAATGTCTAAAGTGTGTGAATTTGGCAGCATGCTTACTGTCAAAAGCCTTGTCTATCGGATACGACTAGACAGGGCTTCCGATGAGCTTTGTTAACCCCTGGAATCCTAGGGAAAATGCCCCTTAAAAGGCTCTCCCATGCAGGGAGGATGCAGGAGATCAAAGAGACTTTTCCCCTTCTTTACCAGCATCTATAATTAAGGACCTGATCCTTTATCTTACAGGGGAAATGTCTTCTTTATCAAATTAGTTGTTTTTCTTCCTTTACGCCCCACAAGGTTAACATCATGTTTTGTAAAAAAAAAAAAAAATTATTTAACTCAGATGTTATTCTTAAATTCTGATGCATTTAAAAGTAGCTGAGCAGCATGCTGGCCCTGCACTCAGCTTCCAGCTACCTAGAGTCCACTCTCTGCGGCATAGGCACTGCATGCACCAGGTGGCAGTGTGGAGCCCCAGCTTGAAGCATAGCAAGGGTGGTGGGTGGCAAACGGAAGGACAACCCTAGAGAGAGAAGACGCTGGCAGTTGTGGGAGGAAGAGGGATGAATTCACCAGTTCACAGATGCGTCTGCAGCTAGCGGCAGCCTCATTGAGGTAATAGACAGCAACAACCAATGTATCCAGGTTTTCTCCAATGAGGGCCAGTTCATGTCCTGCTTTGGGATCCAAGGGCACTCACGTGGGCAGCACAGCACTTCACAGGTATGGCAGTGGACACCAATGGAGACACTGTCGTGACAGAAAATGTCAACCTTTTGGTCAGCATCCTTTTCCCAGAGGACAAGTTCAAGACCAAGATTATGGCAGGTGGCCTCATGGGCCCTAAGGGAGTGGCCCTAGACCTAAATGGGCATATTACTGTGGTTGACAAGGCAATATGTCTTCACCTTCCAGCCAATGACAAGCTGGTTGGCCACACTGGGGGATGTGGGGCCACGGATGGCTGGACCCCAATCTGTTGTTGTGAACAAAAATGAGATAGTAGTGACAGATTTCCATACCCACTCGTTGAAGGCATACAGTGCCAGCAGACTTCCCTTCATGTTTGGCTTCCATGGCGAGGGCGATGGGCAGTTCACCTCCCTCATGGGTGTAGTTGTGGCCTCCAGTGGGAACATCCTGTAGCTTACCTGGGCAACAGCTGCATCCAGGTACCCAACAGCTCTGGTTCCTTCCTGTCCTATATCAACACAACTGTAGAGCAGTGTAGGGCCCACAGGGACTGGAACTGACCTCAGATGGCCATGTGATGGTGGCCAGTGCTGGGAACCACTACTGTAAGACCTCTGCTACAGGGATGGACGCAGGGGTGATTGGACAGGAGGGTCTGGGCAGGTGGGCCAGACCTGGCCTCACTAAATGTGGGCTGTGGATGTTGGTGCACCAGGTGCCTTCATGTTCTGCCTCTCCCAACCCCAGGGTTGTACCTGCTTTGATTCTTGCTTCGGTGGCTGGGTGAGCCTGGACTGTAGTTCCAAGGGCGTGTGCAGAGCTACCCCATTACACACCTCCTGTCTCCTCAGCCTGCTCCCATACCCCAGACTGGAGCCAGAGAAGCCTCTTACTCCCGGGCAGAAGCCCCCCTGGTTGTCTCCCTACCACCCATATACACTAAGAGAGACCATTAATACTCCACCTGACATGTTAAATAAATGTGTTCTCCCAGAAACAAAAGTACCGAATACAGAATGATACATAGTTTACGAGCACATTTACATTTAGAATTATTTCATCAAAAGATTTGTGGGGGCCTCCACTAGGAACTTCCTGGTGGCTTTCTATTACATGTGTACTTATTTTAGCAAAAAACTGTGAATTATTGCCTAAGTTTATTCTTGGGCAACCTTCATGTTCCAAAGATCTATAAGCAAACCACGGCTGGGGGTAGGGGGCGGAACCCAGAGCCTGGTGGAAGAACCACTTCTTGGCTTATGATTGCCAGAGTGAGGACACTTTGGGTTATTCCTTAACTATGATTGATGCTACGGCCTCAGACTCCCACCCACGGCCAGGGTCAAAGATTGCTGTCATACAGGAAGGGCAGTGCCTGTCAACTCCCTTCAACATAAACCTGGAATAGACATCTGGCGAGAAGGGGTTGTGACATTGGAAGGAAACATGGATTTTGAATGGCAGCTCTAAGTATATTTAGCTAAAGTCTGATAAGGACCTGTGGATCTTTTCCAACCACCAATTTGTGGTACTTGAAATGGAATACAATTCATTTTATTCTAGAAGGATGAAAGGGAGTTACTTCTCCTGGGATTGAAACCGATCCTTCTTCAGAAGTCTAGGTATATTATACCAGATCATTGAAAGTACAAAAATCTTTAACATAGACAAGCATGTTGTTTTCACACAACTCAAAAGCCCTTGTCCACATTTGGTGTCTTTATTATTTCTTGAAGTAGAGTTTGTGCAAATCAGATCTCAGCATCACTGCACGGTTCAGAAGGGTGAGCGGAAGTAACATGATCGGTCATTCCCCTTGCACCAAAAATGTCCTAAATGGCTTAGCTGGTTAAGAGTATTACAAAGACATGCTAAGATCAAAGTTTTAATCCTCTTAATGACCTGTTTACTTCCCTGAACTCTGTTCTATACAGGCCAGTTGCCTCTCTCCAAGTTAAATAAAGAATGACCAGGTAACAGGACCTAAGCAAAACCAACACCAAAGACAGGAGAACACAACAGGAACTACTGCAGTGGACGAGGAGCATGTTCACAAATGCAGACTTACAGGCACTTCGTCTGGTCTTTTCATTCATTCTTTCTGGGTGGCAGGTGCTGAAATCACAGCAGGAAACCAGTTGCAGTTTCAGCTGGGAGGAACTCGGTGTGCAAAGGCAACAGCAATCACAACTGAACTCCAGTAACAGGTGTGGGCAGGGAGGCACCAAAGGATGGAGTGAATGCCATTTTGAACAGCAGATGGCTGTTTATAGAGTAGTTAGTTAATGTGATCTAAAAAGCCCACTATGAGCCACTCAACCCATTACTCATGGAAGGAACGAGCAACAGGCATTGGGGAACCTCTAATCGATGTGGTAGTAAGACTGCATTAATTATTTTGCCTTACTACTTGTTTTTAGTGTCAGGCAAGTTCCTGGTCCTATGACTAGAGAGAAATTAGAATTTAAAGTCTTATAACAGGGCTTTTGCCTGTAAGACATACAGGAGAAGTGGTTCAGAAGAACCAAATGTACTTCTCAAGTTTTTATTTTGGATTTGCAACAAGGGGGAAGTGCGATGGAAAGCTCTTCTTAGGAAAACACCAATTAATGAAACCACAGGCCTTGTAAAGATAAACTAGTCATTTAAAGTGAGTGTTATGATATTTAAGGTTCTTCCTAAAATCTCTCCAAATATAAGCTGTTCAAGTGAAACAGAGCCTCTAAGGCAGTGAGACACCACTGCCACCGTGTGTCTAACAGGCTTCACTGCACCCATATCATTACAAAAGACCACACTTAAGATTCAATAGTTACAGAATATAGCTTTATTTATAGAATCTTACAAATAAAACATTTAAAGTTCATATAACTTATTTTCTTTTGTAGTTTATCCTCCTAACTCCTGAGTTATTTTTAAAAATACTGTGATGGAACTGCAGAATTGAAAAAGGAAATATGAATAAAAACCTGACCCCTCCTGCAAAAAAAAAAAAAAAAAACCCAAAAATCAGACTTTTTGTTTTTAAGCATATTTCCTGCATCCTACCATCTCTTTGGAAGAGGACTTACTAAGAACAGGTCTTGGGACACCCGAGCAGAGAAGCCTTCTTTATCCAAACCCTGGAGGAAGGATCCGGGAAGGAGCCCCAAGGTGACACGAGGCACAAAAGGCCTGTGGGAGCAGGGACGGGAAACAACCTCATGGCAGGGTGTGAGCTGCAGCGGAACCCTGATCCTGGTCTGGGGCTCCTTCGAGGGACACAGACTCTCCTAGCGATTGTTAATAGGAGCTGGTCCATCTGGAGAGAGAAGGGTCGAAGATGCAAATGTCCCCAAAACGCTCTACCCCTTAGACTTCTAAAACATGCAGATGCTTTTAAACCAGCAAATTCAATGCTTAAAAGTCCAAAAGAAATTGCCACACTTTCAACTCATGAGGCAAGCTGGTTGCCAATGGCCACATACAATCAGCTGCATGAACTAAGTGTTTCCCCCCCTCCTCAGCCCCGGCCCGGACCGGCCTCTGGACTAAGGACAGTTGACAGAAAGTCTCCCTTTGAGGCGGCTGTCTATGAAAGGAAGGCTCTTCCTACAGATGTGCACGGAAAGGGAAAGCATCCTACTGTTTCATACTGTACTTTTAATTTGCTAAAGATTATATTTTTGAGCTCTTCTAAAACTAGAAACCAACTAACCCTAACTTAGTACTTTACTCCAAGAATAATTGTATTTGTAAGGAATGGTCTATAGGGAATGCTAAAATTATAAATTTAATACATCAATGTGAATTAAGGGAAGCAAAATCTTCTGAAGCCGTAAAGATTGAGTGTTATTTTCTGCTAGCTCCCGAAAGCAATTTGAGGAAAATAAAACAGAAAAGACACAAAATCAGTAACAATAACAATGATGATATAATACAAAGTTAGATTCCAACATTCAAGGCGTTGGTTCTTTGGTAAAACTGGACCATAATCCTATCAGGAGACAGTCCAGGTACTGAATCTAGAATCTTGAGAACAGTTTTTCTCCTTCAGCCTGTTCTGAAATCTACCCAAGTCAACAGGCCTGAGAAGGAGAAAAACTTACAAAGCATTACCAGCAGTTTTCCTGCTCGTGTTCTTTTCAAGAATATTCCTGTTTTGAGGGATGTTTTCCAAGAAGAAAAAACAAAACCAAGGCTGCTTTTGAATTACTGAGTAGTGAGAAGTGTCTGGGAAAGGAGGGAAAGGCTCACAGGTGTTGGCGAAGAACCAGCACTCATCAGTCACGCACACAGTGCAGTTTGCAGCTGTGGGCACCACAAAGAAAGGCTTCTGGAGAGACGGGCTCCCCAAAGTGGCTAAAGAATCTCACATTATCAATATGATAGTAATAAATCAATTCACCTAGTGAACCTGGAGATTAGTTCCCCCTGAAGCCCAAGTTCTGAGGAGAGGGCTCTGCGGCACCTGAGGCTGGCCTACAGTCTCACAGACAAGTCTATCCGCCCACTTTTTGAGGAGAGTAGGCAATTAATATTCAATACAGGAGCCGCCCCTCCTTGTCTGGGGTGAGGGAGGAAGGGTAACCTAGACTGTACTGCCGAAAACCCACCCGCAGCGTCATCAGTAGGCCCCCTGTTCTGCACACATCTGCAGAGCCCAACCAGACTTCTGGACCTTACACCTCAGAGTTCTATTATTCGTATTTTTACTCATGTAATTAGCAAATCCTAAATGGCGTCTGCACGGATTCCTTTCCTGGCACCACTGTCAAAGAGCACAAGTTGCACTCCAGTTCTATAAGTCCACCTGCCACTTTGCAGCAGACACGTTGGCCAGGGGAGGTAAGTGTGCGAGGTATCCCCTCTCACTCCAGTTTCGTGCATGTGCTCAGAATGTGCTTCTAGGGAGGCAGCCAAGAAGTCTCAGAAGGAGGGAGTGGGGAAGGGGAGGAGGGAAACAGAGAAACCCTCTCTGCCCTCCGCTCCTGTTAGTGTTGTTCGGAGAGGAACGGCGTGGGGGAACGGGGAGGGGGTCCGGGCCACTGAACCGACACACCGGCTCTTCTGGATGGCCGGGAAACACCAGGTGCAGCCACAAAACTGACATCAGCACCCCAGTGGGCACGGGTGACCATCAGGACGGCGGCACACACGGGCCTCACTTCCCCTCTCACCCCGCTCAATCCGCCCCCTCCCGCCCTCTGTCTGCTCCCACTTTCAGCTCTCCTTGAGAGAACAGGCAACTGAACAGACTGAACAAATGGGAGGAACTCCTGTCTCCTGTACCTTTTCTGTAAAAAAATAGGTGAAGAGGATCCATTTTAAAATGGATCATCTTGAGGTCCAGGATACACAGTTAGATTGGCCCCAAACTATAGATTTGCGTCTGCTATTACTAACCAGGTTATGGCTGCTGCCTATATTTTTGCATTGTAGGGCAAAAGATCCCAAATTTCCCAGCAATGGTTTGAAGAGAAAGGGGCCAGGGTAACCAGAGAAAAAAATTAGGTTTGTCTTCTAAGCTGCATTCAGGTCCCCGAGCTGCTCTGAGAAGGAGGGAGAGGAAAGGGAGCGAGGTACGACCTGGAAGCTGTGACCAGAGCAGCTTCTTACTAGGACAGAACATTTAAAAAGCAGCTGACGTCAAAATGCAGGAATCCAGTCCGTGCCACAGTTTTTAACAGAACTGCCTCTCCCAAGGCACTCCGGGGCCGCTGAGTCCGAGGGCCAGGGGTCAGACAGCCGAGGGCCGACGTCCACTTGCTTGGATCCCTGCAGGGCCCTACCCGATCTGGATCTGTCCTGAATACATGGTGAGAAGCAGCATGATGGTGAAGCCGGTCAAGAGACCCAGGTTCTGGATGACAAAGGGGACCAACATGCTGCCCTTCCATTCGTCCTCCTGGCAGACTTCATTCATCTCGGGGAACTGGGAAAGGAGAGAGGACAAGTGCGCTGCAGCTCCTTTCTCAACCTTGTGAGCCCAGGAGGACTCAGTGCCATGTAGACGTGATACCTAACACCTGTTCTCATATTGACTCCGTTCACATTTACACTGCAATTAATATATAGCATATGGCTACTATAACACTTAATATTAATGGGGTGAAATTATATATATCTGTCTTTATGAAGAAAAGTCACAGCCATAGTCTCTGGAACTCAACTGGAACAGCCTTTCTCCAAGGTGGCTACCACTGAAGCTGACCCTTGAACAACATGGGGGTTAAGGGCGCTGCCCTCGTGCACTTGGAAATCTGCATGTAACTTAGCTGTCCCTCAGTATCACAGGAGATTGGTTCCAGGACCGCCCCCCTGCACCATGGATTCCAAAATCCGTGGATGCTCAAGTCCCCTATGTAGAATGGCTTAGAACAAGGCATACAGTCAGCTCTCCACACCCTTGGATTCCCAACCACAGACAAAAAGCAATACAGGATTTTATTGGGAAAAAAGATCCACGTACACGTGGACCCACTCAGTTTAAATTCTGTTGTTCAAGGGTCAACTGCACTTTACAGCTACAGAGGTAAAACAAAGTACTATACATGCATATACTCCTGGATGTGTTTAGATACTGGCTAAAAATAACTGCTTGGATAAAATAAACTCTTCACTGTGATCCTTAAAAACACCTGCAAAGATCTTTCTGCCATCAAAATGTTACAGTCCCGTTTGGGAAATCGAGCAATTGTGTAAGGGGCCACAGAGCGGCGCTGTGGCTCCGGGCCTCTTGCTGCCGGCTGGCAAGGCAGGTGAGAACGAGATCTTCCAATTCAAGTGCTGCAAAAAAGCAAAAAACCCCAGCCACGGGGACAGCGCCCCACAATAAAGGAGAGAATCTAGAATCTAGGCTGGATCTTGGTGGTCTACTCTTGTCATCTCATCAAAAATATTATTTTCAAAGACCATAGAAAATAATTCATGCAAACGTGCCAAAGAAAAGGGCATGCCCACTAACAAGTTCAGTTACACCAAAGATGTGACAAATCAGGCAATTCATGAGCAAACTCAGATCTACTTACAGGTTACACCAAATGTTAGCGCACAGCACAATGTGCATGTTCAGACTCCTGACAATGCCACTCACTGGTCTTTAAATATCTGTCCTGTAATACTTACATTTTTAAGTAAGGACCCTGGACTTGAGTTTAGTAATTGTTTTCTTTAAAGACATGTGCTAAAAGAAACATTAGCTTTTTGTTCTCTAAAATCTAATGTCCTTCTAAAAAGTATGGATTTGTTCACCTTAAACAAATAAATGGTGTGGTATGCGAGCGACCCCTCCATGAAGCTGTCATCAAAACCCAGCTAACTAATGTCTCCTCAGCTGTCCCCCACCCAGTGACTTCAATGACCTAGTCCAGCTTGGTCACGTGCCTGTGGAATAAACTGTGGAAGACAGACTTACCATGTCAGCCAGAGAAATGTACAAGAACATTCCTCCAGCCAGTGCAAAGATCCAGTTGGCAGAGAAGTGGCTGCCGGCCACGATGCCAAAGGCCAGACCCACATAACAGCAGCAGGCAGAAAGGAAGTTGAAGAACAGCGCTTGCTGGAGGCTCATGCCAGCATTGAGCAGGATGACAAAGTCTCCTGGAGTGGGGAGGACAGAGGGGCGGGTAAGGACGGGCATATGAGGGCAGACTGCTTCCAAGTCTGGCCAAAGTCGGGGTGAAAATCAGGAAGCCCCAGATAGGAGACAGCAGTGACTGGACAAAGGTGCCCCTCTTTGTGTGTGGGAGCAGGCTCATCTCTGTTGGCAAAGCTGGCCATGTACATCCAGCTGAGCAGCTGATGATAATACAAAATAACAGCCAATGAGCCACAGCCCCGTTTCTCATCTGACTGACAGTGAAATAGAAGGTGCTTCCCTCCTCACAACCACAATGAAGGGTATTTTTAGGAAACAAAATTGAGACTGAGGGAAGTTAAGTAATGGGCCCACAATCACAAAGCAATAAATGGCAAACCCAGGACTTGACCTTGAGTCTCCGAGCCTCCAAAGTCCAGGCTTTTTACACTCCCTCTGATAAAATGAAGGACCTCCCACCCCGCGACCTCTGGCTCATCAACTTCTTCCACCCACCGGACCTCTGACACACATCTCAGTCTCTGGGAGAGTCACAGGATGTCAGAAATAAGGTGCACTAGGCACTTGGAAGAATAGTGTATGGCACACAGGAAGTCCTTTCCACCGCTTCCCCTGTTCATTCTCATGATAACCCTACACGGCAGGTACTGGTATCGCTAGTGGAGAAGTGAGGAAACTGAGCCACAGCACAGGGCGCCACAGGGAAACAGACATCCTTGTAAAACACTCCATTGTTTTCAATGACCAACTTCCTATGATTAATTCAACTGTTAAGAATTAGTGGTTAGGGTTCACACCACGTAAAGAACGTATAAATGAATTACAAGCACGTTGAAGGGGAGAGGAGTCGGCCACAGGAAGGGTGCCGGCACCAATAACGAGGCAGCCGAGCGGCCCGGGGGTGGGTGCACGTGCACTCACCCAGCTCGTGTGGGAACTCCTCACAGAGAATGGCCACTGAGGTGCTGATGCCTTGGAAAACGGACACGGTGAAGGAGGCTCCAATGGCCAGGCCGTCGATGAAATTGTGGAGGCCGTCGCTCAGGGTGATCATCCAGGCCAGAGTGCCGATATCAGAGTAGCGGACGCCCTTCAGCCAGTAGCAGGCACTTTGGGAGGCCTGCAGGTCCTACAAGGAAGCCAGCTCAAGGTAGACCTGAGTCATCAAGACCACTGCTGCCTGAAGGTCCCCACCCAGCGCCAGATGGCCCGCTGACCTGGACAGAGAGTGAGCCCACGATGACTTTCTCATCCATCACGGGGGCCTTGCCGTCCAGCTCACTGCCACAGTGCTGAGGAATCATGTGGTCCAGGTCCCCATTCTGCAGCTTCTCCGTCACCCCCTCCTCCTGGTCCTTCTTGGAAGGAAGTGTCTCGGGAGCATAATGACTATGTCCGTGATGATGCTGGAGGGACAAGGAGCAGTGAGCGCAGTGCTCACCCAAACCATACAGCTTCCTGAGATCTGCTGAGCCAGCGCACCAAGCACCAGCAGCAGAGACAGCGCCAGCGGTGGCAGGCACAGAACCCTGGGGACCGTTGTTGGCACTGAACCAAGGTGAACACAAGGGCCTGGCACAGGAGGGAGACCAGAGCAGTGACCGCAGGGCCCCTGCTCATCCCAGAGAGGCGGCACTGCTCAAAATATTTACAGCTCCTCCTTTGCAACAGCTCATTTTATTCAATTCAGCAACTATTCTGGGAATGACTGCATAGCACGCACATAAGGCATCTTCCTGGGTTTATCCTATAATAACTGGCCTTATTTCTGTGTTGTCATACTTCATACACAGGACTGGTCCATACCTCTCCTTAAGTATGAAAGTATGTTAAGGAAATCATTTGGAATAGAACAGAAGGGATACGTTACTGCCTGGCAGAAGGCACACAGGCCAGGTCTGGTTTCTGGGCTGCCCTTGCCCCCTCTCTTACCCTCATGAGGTGAAATGGGGTGTTGACTCATGAAATCTGGCTCTGCCCCCCCCCCCAGCCCACCGCAGCAGTAAGGAGCTGAGCCCACCACAAGACACAGGCATTTTGGAGACAGACACCTTCCCCAGAAGCATCTTCTTTAATAACAACTGAGCCTCACCTCATCTTTCTGCTTAAGGAGCATCTTCAAGATCTTCTCTGTGAAAAAGAAAAGATAGAAACCCCCAAACACCATTGCGGACTTGGGGACGTAATAATCCTCCAGAGGGTTGAAACCAAACGCCTGTGAACCCAGGAAAAAAAAATGAGTTTAAGAAAACAAACCACCTCCATGGGTCCCCTCTTGTCTCTCAGCCACTTCTGTGGCTGTGGGAAAGGGCACGTGGGCACAGGGGGTGACTGCCGTCTCCCATCTCCTTGCCCGAGAATGCTACCTCCTGATGGCTCCCGAATGTCCCTTCACCAGGCCTGCCTAGGTTCCCTCTCACTTAGTTTCTGATGCAACAGACAGATCATCTTCAGAACTGTACTGTCAGGAGGACAAGCTGGAGACGGCTCTGTCTCTGCTTCTCCATTTGCTAGACACTGCTGGCAAACGCCAAACTTAAAGAGAAGGCCCTTGCGCCTATTTGCACCACTCTCTCCTGTCCCTGCGTGATCTGCCTGTAAACACGAAGGGAGGCAGTGTAATTATACCTTCTAAAACGGGAACTCTATTCCCCAGTTAAATACCGAGAATTGCGGCATCTTCCTGACCGCAGACCTCCTGGTGACCACAACGCCAAGAAAGCAGACAGTGTTCCTGCACACGTCAGTGTGGGGGTTTGTCTTGGGCTCCTTCTGGAAACCCTACTTATTATGGGGGGGGGGGGCGGACAGAACCCACTGCGGAGCGGGCTGGAGTAGAAATCAGGAGAATTCCGCTCCCAGGGTTGCTCCGGACTGGTGGCGGGGCCATGGGGAAGGGTCCGGTGACCCACAGCTCAGCTTTCTGACAAAAAACCCCTCTTCAGGGGTTGCACTCCAGCCTCCTCAGGAACAAGTCCCGGAGAAAAGTGACTGTCAGAACCAAGAACTCCGGGTTGCCTAAAAGGTTAGTGTTTTTCCTGTGTGCTTTTAAGGGACAAAATGCAATCTCTACGCACTAGTCTAGTTTTCGAAGAGACACAAAGGGCAGCAAGTTCTGGAGCGGAAACAACACACGCGGGCCGACTCTCCAGGACAGTGAAATCGTCTCAGGGAAACGTGGGAACGTTTCCTACGGTGCTCCACGCAAAGCCACGGCGGGCGCAGGGCAAGAGCTGGCTTCGGGAATGGGAAGCCTGGCCTCCCGGGTGCAGGCTCTTGGCCAGGTCAGGGTCCTCATCTGGTCAACGCGTAAAACACACTTGTTCTCCTGATCTCACAGTTTATCTAAGGATCAGCTACGAAAACACAGGCCCACATGTGGGAAAACAAAACGTAGGCAGCAGCCTGTGGCGTCACCCGTGTCCTCCCACTGCGGCTCTGTCCTGGCCTGTCGGTCACCTGCGGAGCAGGCCGCCTACTTGCTGCACGAGCCAGTCTCCCGGAGACACCACCAAATCAGATGCAACTTCTCCGGGGCCATCTGCCTAACTGATGCAAGGCCTGCCCTTCCTCCTCTTTTGTGGACGATTTTCTCACTAAGCTGGGCTGAGGGACAAACGTGCCTTCAATGTATGTGACGCCAGACGGTTCTATTTGGGTTGCCTTTGCCTCAGAATGCCCTAAAGAGGACGGATCTTTTTATTGTGACCTACGGAATCTGTGGAGATGTCTGTTTGCTTGTTGTGTGCTAACAGCCCTCAGTCAGAGGCTGTAAGTGATCTTCCTACACTACACCTGCTCCCCAACAGCTGGACAGCACTCGCCAGGCACCAGGCACTTCACGAATGTTACTCACGCAACCCTCACGGCACCCCCGTGAGGTCGGGCCCACTGTCGTCCCCATTTAACATGATGAGCACACGGAAGACAGCGAGGTGAAGGGACTCTCCCGGCTCACAGGTCTCGTCCACAGGAGAGCTGGTGTTTGAGCCCAGCCCTCAACACTGCGCTCTGCCTGTCTCAGCACCACTTTCCTAAAGGAAAGGGCGTCTTCTCCCTGCCTTCTGCCGACCAGGAGGGTCCTCCCGCTGTGCCCGCTGTCCCCAGGAGACGAGGTGCTCCTGGGCGAGGAGCCCTGGCTTGCCATACCTCGGGGATGAGCTGGAAGAGGGCGTTGGAGTAGAGGGTGCCAATCGCCAGAGCTATGAAGTAGAGCAGCAGCCTCTTGTAAAAGGTCTTCTTCATGAAGGGCACCACGCTGGCCCCCATGAGGGAGCAGAGGGAGATGACGGTCACGCAGAGGAGACCGTATCCCCACACTGCCGTTGGGGGAGAGCCAGCCCCACCCACAACAGGGGGAAGGGCGAGCGCCCCGTGGCGCGACACCCGCCATTGAGGGGCAAGGAGATGGAGGGGATGGGGAGACGATGAGGAAGGTCGGGGTGGATATTAACAAAGGTGACAAAGAGAAAAAATCAGAGACAAGGAGGGAGGGAGAGAGAAATAGAAAATTTGTTAGTGATTCAAGTCCAGTGAAATTTCCTTCAATCCATTCAGAGGAAATGAAGAGGAAGTCAAGATGGCCTTGGAACTCTGTGGCTCCTGCCCCCACTGCCCTCGGGCCGGTGCGCCTGCCAGCTGGTGTGACTGGCAGGGCAGGTGCTGCTTCGTCACACAGCCAAGGTGAGTGCAGGCTTATCCAGAAGCTGCCACAGACAGCAGCCGGTGGAGCCAAGGGCCCTCTTTAACAGGAAACAAGAGCAGCCGGAGAGAGACTGATCACTGAGCTGCCGTGTTTGCTTTGTGTATCCGCCCTGTGCCGGATAGGCAGGCGCCTGCACCAACACCTGCACCGGTCTGATGTCTGTGCAGGAAACAGCAAAGTGCAGGTGAGGTGGTAGAGTACGAGCTGGGCCTGAGAGCCATGAAATGCAGATTTTTAACTTCCCGAGGCTTTTTTGTTTGTTTGATTTTAGGGAGGGGGTTGTGTCCTTTTGTTCTGAGAGGGCTCAGGAGCAGACAACAGAGTTCCAAGATCACCCTGCATAGCAAAGGTTTCCTCTACCATCTCCTAGCATCACACACTCCAGCCTGGACAAAATGAGCCAAGACGAGATGCTCCCGGTGAGCCACAGGGCTGGAGTGTGAGCAATTACTGTATTTCCATTCAACAGGCAACAAGGTATTTCATTTAACTTAATTATAAAAAAATTAATACATTTGACTTTTGGAGCTGAAAAAAAAATAGCCCAAGATGAGGCCTCCTCTGAAGAGTGCTCGCTAGGTTCATGGGGAATTTTGAGGCAGCATGGAGATGTTTACCTGAAACTGGATTCCTTCCCCCACTGCTGGGAGGGAACAGGCAGGGCCTGGGCACAGCACTGGGTGCCTCTGCAGGCAGAGTCTGACTGGGGAAGGCAGGGGGCTGCCACGCGGGCTCCCTCTGGCAGGCCCTGCCCCCACCCCAAAGGAGGCCCCCCACGTAATCACCGCCCGCCTGTCCTGACAAGGGTAGCAGACCGTCAACTTGGGTCTTATTTTTTTTAGCTCCTCAGTGGTCACAATTAAAAAACAAGATTAACAAACATTTCCAAATAGTCAAGTAAGGACACCAGGAAACCAGTCCCATCAGGAGAAATTCAAGATGCAGGCCTGGCAGGAAGGGCATAGTGTCCCCTCCTCACTGATCTCGTTCTTTTCATTTAGTTTGTTTTTGTGGAAAGCCTTCTAGGTTTGGCGCTCTCTGCTATGAATTATGGCCTGCTTCAAAAAAAGAAAGGATCGCTCATCTTTTAGGCCAGTTCTACTTATCAGCTGGCAACCTCTTTTCCTTCCACCACCTCATTCCAGAAGCATCATCTCTCGGTGGCTACCCGAGCACAAGAAGGCCTCCACGTAGCTCAGAGGGGCACAGAGGCCAGGGGTGTGGAGAGAGACCACTGCCGCAGCTTTCCTTTCGAGCCCTGCCAACTGAGCCTAGGAAAGGCACTGAGGCGGAGAGGCTGAGCCTCTGCCAGGAAGGCAGAGGTCAAGAGCCTTGCACCTGACATCACCTGAGGAGGCAGAGGTAACCTGGTGCCCCAGGAAGGAGCAAAGGCCCTTGAGATCCAGAGTCAGAAGTCATTGGTGTGCCCTGAGACGAGGGAGAAGTTAATTGGTCAGGCGCAGTTGCCAGAGGCCCTGGAGCATGGGGTGGAGGGCGTGTGGGCAGGACGGCTCTGCTGACGCCCTGCGGAAGGAGGCCGCGCACGTGGGGTCTACTGCACCTCTGGGATGAGCTGGAAGAGCGCGTTAGAGAGCAGCGTCCCGATGGACAGGGCGATGAAGTACGTGAGCACACGGCTGAAAAACGCCTTCTCTGTGCACGGCAGGACGAGGACTCCCAGGAGAGAGGCCAGGTTAATCACTGAGACACTGAGGAAACCAAAGCCCCACACTGCGGAGGAACAAGAACAGACGAGGACCCCCATTACCGAGGGCAGGGTGCTCCTGCGGCAGGGGCACAGAGAGGTCTACCAACCCCTCAGTAAATACGTCTTGAGTCTGTCTCTTGCAGGTGCTGTGGAGAAGCCTAAAAAAATACAGCACAGTTGCTGTCTGGAAGAAGCTCCCCTTTTAGGTGGAGGCAGGTGAAAACAGGAAAGGTTAGGGGTTAAAGGATGACAGCAGGAGGCAGTGAGGCACTGCACAGGCAGCCTGCGCCAGGTGGCCAGTGCCGGCAGCTGCACTGCACCGTGGTGTTGCAGGAGGACGGCTCTCGTGAGAAGGGGACAGGTGCACTAACAGACCACGGTGGGTGTGTCCACTGGCCTGGAGCAGAGGGTCCAGGAGGTGCGGGGGAGAAGGATGGAGTGGGCGGATGACAGACCCTGTAAGGTCTGAAATGTCAAACTGAAAAATCAAAGCACTGGCCACCTGGGGGTTTCATGAAAACTAAAGTGGAAAAGTGGCCCTGAAAAGCAATTGATAGTCAGACTGGTCCAAGAGCCCAATAATGAATATTCAGCAGCAACTTGTCCCATTTGATGACATGCTGAACCAGTCTTGTGGTGCGAAGACACGGGTGGAACTGTCACTTTAACTGATCCCCCCTGATGTTGATAATGTGGTCACCAGTTAAACACTGAGCAAGCAGCACTATTGATCAGCCAAGGGCAAGTGAAGACAAGCATGGACACCAGGTCCTCCTGCCCCGGCTCACCTTCCACCGGGCTCGGCCCCGCTGCTTGCGTCTGCTCATCCTCCTTGTCCTCCTTATTCTCAGAGGTGCAGGCCTGGGAGTCCAGCTGCTGGAGGATGGTGGGGCAGAAGTCCTGGAATTCACTCCTCCCGATCCGGGACTGGTCACTGAGGTTGTGGGCAGCAAAGAGGGCTCCAGAGCTGAAGCACTGAAACAGAGACGAGGGGCAGAGAGCCTCTGAGAGCCCGAAGCCATGCCTTGCCCTGGGCAGTGACAGACTCAGCCTTCCAAGGAAAATAAAAGAGGACAGAATTGTCCCCATTTCCGTAAGACTAATCTCCAGCAGTAAGAGCAAGGTAGTCCTTCAACTTGAAAAACTGATAAGTTATCTTGAAGACTGCCAGCGGTCCTTGAATACCTGACATACAACATCTGTAAATGGCCACCCAGAGCAACTGAGTTGCAATAATTACGAGCAGGATGTGGCTTCTAGAAAACATGATGCTACTACACACCTGAAGATCAGGCTTCACAGAAAGTCTGGCTGCACATCGCAATTGCCCAGGGAGCTATTATACTGAAACACAGATTCCAGATACTTCTCCAGAGCTACTACTGGGCACCGGCTTCCATGGAGCATGGGTGGGCCGGCCAGAGGACATGAGCCCTCAGTCCCCTTGGAAGGCAGCAGGGAGTGGCTTTCATACACCGTCCTATGAAACACGGCCGCTTTCCTTCTAATTATACTTTATATACGTCAGTCTTCATCTGACTTTGGATTTATGCAGGTCTGTCCCACCGTCAGCCTTCTGGGTTGTGCAGCCAAGGGAGCTTCCCTCCAAAGCTGAGAGTTCCGCTGACCCCGACACTGCTGTGGTGCTGCGTCGGCCCCTAGGGCAGCCTCCTCCCTCACGCAGACATGCCCCACGCCGTGTGGCTCTGCACCCAGGCCACATGGGCCCCTGATCTCTCCGAGCTCCACTCTCCTTCAAGTGGGAGCTCCAGGACACCTCCCCAGTGAACCTCCGGGGACTCACTTCTGAATCCCACAATGACCGTCCAACCAACACTTAATGCTTCACTTCATGTCAGCTAATTTTGTTCCTGGTTGATTGAGTCCCCCATCTTGATAGTAAACCCCCTAAATGTGACTAATTTTTTCTATATCTCACAATACTCAGCACAGCAAATGAAGCAGAGATAAAGAGCCGCAGCTGGCTGACTTAGAGCTGGCTGCTCAAATATCTTCAGATTCAGATAAGCCAAGATGATAAGGAAGAAAGAACAAGAACTAGGAGCCAAAAGCCCTGGGCCTTAGTCCTGGTCCCTCTAGGACCTCACTGTGGGACCCTCAGTGTTCTATCCCAGAGAATGAAAATTTTCCACCTGCACCTACGGGTGCTGGGAGGCTCACCTCGGGGGGGGGGGTGGTGAAGGGCTTTGTCATCTACAAACTCTATTAGAAGCGGTCAAGGTCCTGGGATCTCCAGCTTACCAGCAGCTCCAGGGGATCCCAGTGATCCCAACTGTAGGGGAGAGTCAGGAGGACTGAGGCCCCCCACTTCCTGGCTGCCCTTCAGTAATGGCTTCACAATGCCCATGCAGGACAGCAGGCCTCGCTGCTGGAGACTCAGACTTGCTGACCCAACAACAGGGTAAGAGCTGGCTTCTCTGGTCTGTCATCAGGGCCTGCCCACCCCAACCCTGCCTGCCCCGAGCAGCTCCACCCGGTGAACAGCTGGACTGTGGACTGAGAGGACAGAGTGCTGAGCAGAGCTGTGAGCCTTACCGTGGACAGGTTCCTTGGTCCCTCTGGGGGCCAGGTGGCATTGTCCCGGCCCACCCCCACAACCAGGTGGTCGAGCAGGGCTTTCAGCTGCTGCAGGGTGAGGCTGTCCCCCTCCCCGTAGCGACGCATGAGGTCCTGCAGGAATGAGGTCGCATTGATGGCTGGCGTCCCCGTGGACACAGCGTGAGTCTCAGGAGTAGCTGTCCATAAGCTGAGCAGGGTCAGCAGGAAGCAGCTAGGGAAGACTGGGTGGAACAGCTTCATGATGACGAATAAGCCTGTAAGAGCAAAAAGCCAGGTAAGGGTGGGGCTTAAAAACCCACCTCTCCTTCCACTGTCCCACCTGCTGACTCTAAAAGGACGTGTCTCTGCTCAGACTCTGAATCCGGTCAGGGTCAAAGCGGACTCCTTACCCCTCCTCCAGCGCCTCTATCTAGCTTTCCAAAAAAAGCCTTCTTTTGCAAGTAGAGCATGCAAAAAGACAAATTCAACAGGTTTGACTAAATTTAAGAAAGTAAAAGACTATGCAGCTGGGGTTTTTTAATAAGCCCTTATCTTTTAGAGATATTGAAATAATCATGTAAATAATATCTGGGATTTGCTTCAAAAAAACCAAAGGAGAGTTGTCTGCATGAGAGTGCGGACCAGGAGGCCACAGGGACAGGAGCTGGTGGAGCTGGTCACTGTGGAAACCGAGCAAAGGGCAGACGGCAATTCACTGCACTCTTCTTGGATATGCTTCAAATTCTCCAAAATAAAATATAAAAAATTAGTATCTTTGGTCTGTTGAGAATCCAGATGGACCAGATGGAAGATGCTACTGTGACTTACTAAAATAGCAAAACAGACTTTGCACAAAAGATATAAAACCAAATGTTAGTGAGGCTGAACAACCAGATAAGATATGGCCGGTGGCTACATAAGTAACCTGGCTCCTGAAGTCGTAACAGAAGTATTTAAATCCTCTGAATCTGTAACTGGACTTGTAGAATTTACACCAACAGGAGCAATTCAAAAATAAAAAGGCAGAAGGATGTGTTACGGTGAGGCGAACTAGAACATATCAACTTCAGAGATTACTACGCAACTCTAAAAAAGGAGACTCATGAGCTTAATGTTAAGCAGAACAATTATTTAAAAGAATTAAGAACTGAGAAAGAATGAGAAAAATAAAACCTTTAAGATAGTAGGGCTGACGATTTTTCTTTGTTAGCCATTTGTACAGTAATAATTTAATTAGCGAAATAAGTATCAGGAAGGGAAGGAAAACACGACTCCTGTGAAATCCAGAGGCAGGAACCTAGCCCCTAAAGCCCATCCCACGGCCCCCGGGCTTGAGGCCTTGCCACGGGGGGCTCCACCTCTGGGCCTTGGCTCATGATGGGGGGGCTCACAGGGGAGGCTCAGGCTCATTTGCATCCTGGCTCTGCCACTCACCAGCCGCCCCATCTCAGGCCAGGTAACAACCGCATCAGCCTTCTAGAGTCACCGAGAGCAGTGCCGGCCCTCAGTGTCTGAGATCTGGCTCAGATTTCCTCAGTGCTGCTTACCCAGTGTGCCCCTGGCCACGTGACTGAGCTTCCTTCTTACCACACCTCAGTTTTCTCATCTATAAACCGCGGTCTCATCTGTAGCACTCACTGGGTTGCTGCGAAGACTAAATGCCATGAGCCATGACAAGTCAGTCACTGAGTGCCTGGACTACAGAAAGCACTTGATAAAATGTGACTACTACTCTAAGACGTATTAAGAGCAAAGCTCTTCTACTTGGACTCCCGCTCAGTGCAGAGAGTGAGCTGCTAATGGACCAGTCGGAGACACCCCTGTGGCTGACTCCACCGACCCCAGGCCTGTGGTACACCATCATACACGTCCCCAACCACGGACATGTCTGGGACATTCCAGGCGGCATGGGGCACGCACAGGCCTGGGGACATGAAACATGGCTCCTCACGGAATATGCTCTGAGTCACACACATGGATGGATTAGGTGTCAGCAAAAACAATGCTTTGTAAAAGTGTCACTTGGAGACTAACAACTCTCAAATCTCCACCAAGAACCAAAAATTAAATTTTGGTATGCAGGCAGGATCTTAGTCCAAAATGGCTAATCCCACTGTACAAAGAAAGCTGTTCTCTGCCTGACCACACTCATCTGCCAAAGGCCCAAGCTGAACTGTCAGAGTGAAGAGCTGGGTGGGCTCAGAGGGGAGAGGCAGAGAGACGATGGGGACAGCTGCTAGTGTCACCCTGGCGCACCCTGCTTGGCCCTGACAGTCGAGACCCCCTTAGGGGAAGGTGGGATGCTTATCCAGGTCTCCTGTATGAGGAGACGGGGTTCGGAGGTGAGGAAACAGGGCCCACAGTCAGCGAGCAGAGCAGTGAGGTCAGAAACAGAATTTTTCATGACAGAAAGCCAGGTCTGAAGGACATTAAGGCCAGGGCTGTCTTAACCACTGTCCCCACTGGGTGGAGACAGAAAAATGTACGTCCTGGGTCCCTGGAAGAGCCACCAAACCCTCCACACCTCTGGGCAGGTGGTCCCCAGATTCTGTCCACCCCAGCAAGGCCCTGTGCAGGGGGCCACAGGCACACCTCAGAGGCTGGCTTCGCCCTGGGACTCCTTCTGTAACATCACTTCAACAACTGCCCTGCCTTCGCTGTATTTCTCAACTATATCTGCGGTGACTTCGGAATATCAGAAAAACAAACATAAAAATACTTAAAGTTCATAAAATATGAACTTTAGCTGGATCTGGACAGGCATTCACACCGAGGTTGGCATTTATGAAGTACCTGCTCCTCACTGACACTGTGGCCCGTGGGCTCTGGCGAGGGGGCCTGGAGCAAGCGGACCGTCCTGCCTGGGCAGCACGCTGGCCCCACCCCCTGGGGTCTAAGAATCATGGGGGGCGTGGCAGCGAGAAGTCCTGGTCCAGGCACCTAGGGCTTGCTAAAGGCACTTCAAATCCAAGTGACCCTGATGTTTGGCAGACACAAAAGGGGAGCTTTCTGCTCTAGTGCAGATTTTTCTCCCCCTTAACTAGAAGTTATTCTTAGAAAAAAAACCTTCATAAATGATTCTTTGGAGGAAAGAACAAAGAGAGGAAGAAAGCCTGGTGCAGCTGATGGCAAGGCTGGGTAAGTCCTCTCGGCCGGTGGCTTCGGCTGCAGGAAGAAGCCGCTTCTACTAAGGCCATGGAAGTGGAGGGTGGCATTCGAGCCCTCCCGAGGAGCTGAGCCAACTGCCCTCAAGAGGAGCATGTGGGGCCGGTCCTCAAAGCGAGTCGGAGGGACACAGGCTCGAGGGTGCCGACTGACGGCTCAGAGGACCGGGCTCCTGCTAAGGCGAAGCTGGAATCTCTCCACTCCTTTGTCCACCTGCGTTGGTTCGAAGAAGTAAATTATTTTAGTGTCATAGTTCTGTCTCCCAGGCGCCAGGCCCAGCCCTTCCAGGGGAAAATGAAAGACCCAGGAGGAAGTCCAACCCTCTGCAGAACTTCCAAAGTCTCCTCGGTGTCCTGGAGGCTCCCATCAGCCAAGGCCAGCCCTTCCCTGGGCCCAGAAGGGTCTCATCCTAGAAGCAGCACTCTGTCCTGTGGACACACCCGGATGCTGCACTGACCACCCTGCACCTGTTTCTGGGCCCGCCTCCCCTCTCAGAGAGGGACGGTCACTTCTCTGGGGTGACAGAGCAGTGCTGTGCCATGATGCTTGGTCCAGAGGCTGGACACGGATGTGAGTGGAACAGACAACAGGGCCGTGGAGCCCAGGAGCTGCTAGGCCTCCAGACACGTCCCGCCACCCTTGACCACCAGGCAGCCCACCCTTCTCCTCCACTGGGGTCTCAGGCGGCAGGGTGGCAATCCACGCAAGGCAGTCTGAACCGGGTTTTAACAATGCACTTTATTTAAAATTGAGAAAATGCTGATTGCCACACCAAAGAATGAGCCCAGGGGGTGGAGGGGTGGACAAGGTGTTGGGAGCGGGTGGGGGGAGGGGGAGCTGTAATGTCAGGAAGATGCTGAGCACCAGCCGCTGCTCACTGGCCTCAGTGAACCTTCTTGAGCCTTCTTCCCCTCAACTGTCTTTATCCCTGCCTGACACCGGAAGGGTATAAAAAGAGGGTCTAGTTCTTTTATATTCCTCTCTGACAGACAGCACGAGTCCCTGAAGCACCTGTGGCCTCAGCACATCCTCCAGGGCTGGGCCCATCAATGCCCCAACTACCAGGCAGCTCCCAGCCCAAGAGCTTCAGGAAGACTGGCCTTTCCCCAGTCCCCCCCCAACTCACCAGAAGGCCAGGAATTATCAACCTAACAGGACCATCTCCCCAGTGGACATCCCCAAAGGCAGAGGGGCTCTGAATGAGTCCAGAGGCAACATTTCTGAGCCTCCTGGAGGAGGGGTGCACAAAAATTCCTGAAACTGGCAGAAAACAGACAAAGCCAGGTCTAAGGGGGAGGGAGGGGCGTGGCCCTGAGGAATCCAAACCCCCTGAATTTGTCTTTGATGCAGGGGGTGCTACTAACAGGGCCGTGCCGTCCTTGGCAACAGGACAGTGGAGTTGGTGTAAGAAGTCCGACTCACTGGTCTCACCAGGTCTGTTTGCTCCATTTGGAAAGAAGAAAACAACCTGTAATTTTATAAGTATTAGGGAAGATAAAGTATGTTGAAACACTATAAAAATAAAGATTTCTGAGTTAAGATGGAGAACTGAAATGGAATCAAAATTTTCCTTCCCCTGGTAATTAACACTTGAATACAAAAAAAAATAGTATAAAACAAGCAAGCAAAAAAAAAAAAAGCCACCTAGAGCAGCCCAACAAGATAACGGGCAAACCGTGATGCAGTAACTTCAACACCATAGGGGAGGAGAGGAATGTGGGAGGCACCTGAACGGCTCATCTCCCAGGCTGAACAGCCACAGTGGGGCAGGGGGTGGGGAGGAGCCACAGTGATGAAAACAGAACCAGGAGAATCCTCACTAACTCCCCCCTAATCTGGACAGTAGCAAATGGCCAATTCCTTTTCCTCCCCAATACAGGAGTGGTGGGAAAGCTGCTGGGAAAACGACAGGCGGGTGCCATTCAAAGAACAATGGGCTGACTCTCTGAGAGAAGGCTGGGCTCCGAGGTCACATACTGAATTGGGGGAAACTGCCCAATTCCAGTGAGTACTCTCCCCCCTCAGCAGAAATGGAACGCGACGAAGTGAGTGGGCTGAGCCATACCACGGGGGCTGTTACCCAAACCCCAGAACAGAAGCCGCCCCACCT